TGGGGGGTGATGAATTGAAGCCCCAGTTGCACTTGCTGTAAGTGTGCAATACCAGATTGGTACTTGGATGGGTGGGTATTGAAAGGGATCAATTTATAGGGGATGGGGCTGGAGGGGTGCGTTTATTTAAGATAATTCTGTGATCGACAGTGAAATAGAGGAGGGGCCAGAAAGAGTACCCCCCAGGCCTGTTCTAACAATATATTTTTTGTAAGTGATGCAATCAAAGAACTGCATCCCAGACAAACAAGTGATGCAATGCAGTCATGCAGTCGACCTACTGAAGCACAGGTGAGACTGTGTAATCTGATGTAAGGTCTTACACATGAAACCTCAAGGTACTAAACAGCAGGCTTGCATATTGGGTTGGGTAAGGATTCTCTTTCACCTCTTCCAATGAGGCGGGGTGAATGCTACTCATTTCATTTCAATCATATTTCTGAGATGCTTGACACATTCACAACAGTATGTGTTTCATTGTAGTTTTGCCTGTGTGCAAGTTTCTGTTTACACACAATAAATTACTTAGCTTTTTCAAAGTATACTCCAGTAAGTCTTTTTTCCCACTCATATTCTTATAAAGAACATTTCATTTGAAGTCAAGAGATCTTACTCGGCTGTAGATGAGTATTAGGGTTGAACTGAAAACTTACAGGATTGTAGGTTTCCAGTGTGTTTCTCTAGCCCTCATCTACAGAACAGAATTTTTTTGCTCCGCACAACTGCCAGATCTGCATGGGCACTATTGGTGAATCCAAACAGGTTTATAACAATTACCTCCACCCTTTCAATTTCTAACAGACATTGACTACATGGGTCGCACAATGAGTCGATCCCAGAGCCTGTGAAGTACTGACACACATGTACTGCGACACTTGCAAATACAGGGCTTAAATGTCAAATACTCAGATGAGACAAACTGCAGATTAAAAAAAGAACTATCACATTTTTTAAAAATGGAAATGGACTTTCTTGAATAAAGACTCTTTTGTTTTGGCTCTATCATTAGCTTTCAGGGTAGCAGGTCAGGTGGGACGGATGTGTCTCTCATTCCTCATATCCCACAATCATCAATACACGAGGGCAAATAAAGCTATCTAGTCCGGTACGAACCAACATAAGGGCTACTGAGGCTCAAATCGTTGAGACTTTTAATGATTTGTGGGGAACATGTTACACATTGCATGGCACCCTGCAGTGTACTGTACTTTGTAGCTGCAGACCAGTTGTAGTGTCCATTTTAACACAGTCTACTGCCAAAAGCGTCTACAGTGGGTACATGAGCCTCTGAACAGACCTTTTGGGAAGGTCACCTGGTCCAGTGTGTCTTGTTTTCTTTTGCATTACGTTTTAATGATGACGATGGGGAGTAGGGTTCAACGCATGGGTCTAAAATCTTGCACAGGTCGAGGTTTGGTGACTGGGAGACCATTGTGTACAGCTGACATCAATTTCCTCCTGAAATTATTCTGTGAACCTTTGAGTCCAGTTGGTGGGGGCATAACCATCCTGAAAGAGACACCTCCCAATGTTGCTCACCCCTCGATAATACAACCACAAGTCCGTAAATACTACCACATCATATGAAAATGCAAATAAGATCAAAAAGTAGGCATTTGAAATTTTTATTTACCCTCTACTATATTGAGAACATTTCAAAACACATTAATTGATAGTATAATTTGTGAATTCAGCTGTTGGGGGCACCAAACTTCCCTCTTCAAGAAAACCAAGGCACGCCATCCTCCAACTGTGCCGTGTCTGCTTCAAACTTAAATATGGATAGTCCATCTAACCCAATTTTAAGAACTTAACCCAAGCGCCCATTTGGACTAACGGGGAAGCTTTTGTGATGGCTGGTAGCAGTCTCAACCCCAGCTAGAATATTCAGTCTTGCAGGAAGCCTACTTTTGCACTGCATCTTGGAAATTTGGTGTTTGCATTGCAAACGAGAGGAAATATTCACAAAATGAAAATGCACCAGTTGTGAGAAAGTGCTTTTACGAGACAGTGGTTTCCTGAAACATGCCTCTAATAGTCCTTGCATTAGGGCGATGTCTGCATGGCAAGAATGCCAGCTTCACTCAAAGATTTATGGAAAATACATACTTGGCTCAAATATGATGACTGCAGCAGACTCTAGATAAAGTTGGCACAGGAGCAATTGAAGACTGATAATGATGTGACAAGCTGCAAGAAAGTGAAGTACAACAGATGAAAAAATTGTGCTGCAGTACAAAAGGCCTCGTTCGTCCTGATGGGTCAAAGCTCACCAATCTACCCACGGATGTGTTGGCTTATAACAAACTGTCATGAAAACAACGTTCCCCAAAGACAAAATGGTTCCATATCACACCGACTCCTTGAGTTCAAACAGCTTAGTGAGCAATTGTATCCTGCTGGCATGGATTCAGAGAGGTTACGGTTTTTTCAGCATATTTCTGTTGCATGTAAATTTCTAAAAGTATGAATTACACAGTTTTGGTTTTAGCTGATGAGGAGTACATTTAGGGGGCAATGAATATAGCTCCCAAGTGCACTTGCTGTAACTGTAAAACACCAGGTTTGTACTTCTGGATGGGAGGGTACGGAAGGAGATCAATTTATAGGTGTCAGGCCACACATCCAGCCTTCCAGCTCACCGGTCTACTAAGACCTGGACTGTATTTTTCACGGCACTCATCATTGTTTGCATCTGTGTGAACAGTTGGCTGCAAAAGTTTGGGCACCCCTGATCAAAATTTCTGTTACTGAGAATAGTTAAGCAAGTAGAAGATGAGCTGATCACTGAATGGCATAAATTTAAAGATAAAAAACTTTTGACATTTTAAGCAGTATCAGTGTATTACTTTTGTTTTATACAATTCTAGAGGGAAAAAAAGGAAAAAAGCACCATGCAAAAGTTTGGGCACACCAAAAGATTTGAGCCCTTGGGTAACTTTAACCTATGGTCTCAGACTGTATTTAGCTTGTTAGGGCTATGGCTTGTTCACAATCATCATTGGAAAGGCCAGGCGATGCAAATTTCAAAGTTTATAAATAAAGAGACTCCTCTAACCTTGGCCCAACAATCAAAAGCCACAGGGTCCTCTAAGCAGCTGTCTAGCTCTCTGAAAATGAAAATAATTAATGTCCACAAAGCAGAAGGCTGGAAGGTAGGAAGATAGCAAAATGTTTTAGGTTGCGATTTCCTCAATTCATAATATTGTTAAGAAATGGCAGTCAGCAGGAAATGGTGGAGGTCAAGTTGAGGTCTGGAAGAGCAAGAAAACTTCCACAGAAAACTGCTCAGCGGATTGCTAGAAAGGTAAATCAAAACACCTGTTTGACAACAAAAGACCTTCAGCAAGATTTAGCACTCCGTGGAGTCATGGTGCAGAGCCTTAAGGTTCAGCGACACTTGCTCAAATATGACCTTCATGGAAGAGTCATGAGAGGGAAACCTCTCCTGCATCCTCACCATGAAACTCAGCATCAGAAGAGTCATGAGAAGGAAACCTCTCCTGCACCCTCACCATGAAGTTCAGCATCAGGAGGTTGCTGAGGAACATCTGAACAAGCCTGATGGATTTAGGAAACAAGTCCTGTGGACTGAAGTTAAAATAGAACTCATTCGCTGCAATGAGCAGAGGTATGTTTGCAGAAAAAAGGATGCAGAATTTCATGAAAAGAACATGTTATGATTCTGCTTTGATTGTCATGTTTGTTTATGAATTCTGCCTTGTCTGACCATGCTCTGTTTTTGTATTTGTGATTTGGATGCCATGCCATGTTTTGTTTTTGCCTTGTCTCTGTCTGTTTGCCATTTTCCACCATTGCAGTTTTATTCCGGTCCATGTTTTGTGTCATTCCATGCATTGCACTTTGTCTCCCCCTGTCTGGTCTTATGTCATGTGATCGCTCACTGCCCCAGTATTGCGTGCCACACTTTCGGGTGATTCAATGGTTTCTGGAATTTCAATCATTCCTTCCAATCTCGTTTGCTTCCTTCGCCTTGCTTTTCTATATTACTAACAATACTAACAGTTTATTATTTTAGTTAAAATTACTTACCCAAACTAACACTGTTTATAGTACTAACTTACTAACGAGCACTAGGGATTGTATAGCTGTACTTACTAATTGACTAACGAGCTCTCAGCATTCGCCCTATTCTAGTCTCCACCCCTTTGGCTTTACTCAATCTACTTTGCTGCAGTTTCAGCGGAACCTCCGCACTTGTTAGACTCTGTTCTCCCTCCTTATCTGTGCACGTTAGAACTCCCTAACCGGAGCTGTATGTCTGTCTATAGCCTGTCTTGTGATCCCTATCCGCATTTTGGCTTTTGCCAATTTCATGTAGTCAGGAACTTCCTCATGTTCATTCCTTTGTTAATTAGTCTGATCCAGCTCACCTGTTCCCTATCATAGCATGTGACTTTAGCATGTGACTTCCCGTTTGTATATTTAAGCAGTCATTTCACAGCCAGCTCTTTGTCAGAACGTTTCTCCTGTGCTGCGGCTGTTTATGCCTTGTACTCTCTGTGATTCACTTCTGACTGGACCGTCCCTCATTACGATTTTGGCTTTGTCTTGGATTCGTTTGCATCTGTGTATCGAACCTTTTTTGCCCGACCACGAGTTTTGTGTTTGCTGCCCTGATTACGACTTGGATTACGTCCCTGGGATTCTGATTTTTGGATTGTGGACTTTGTACTAGTGATGGGCGAATGAAGCCCCACGACGCCTTTGAAGCTTCTTCCTGATTGTATAGCAAAATGATCCAGAGCTTTGAAGCATCGGCCACAACACAGTGACATCTGGTGGTTAGCGAGCTGATTGCTGGACAAACCCAGCTTCCATCACTACAGGCACAAAATAGCCCAGAGGTAAAATACATTAGACAAATCCTCGAATGTGTGCATCAATCTTAAAAAGTAGAAGCCCATTGCCAACAATATTTTTTTAACTATATTGAACATATCATAATTTTATAAATGTCATATTCTCCACTGCATTATAGTTTGATAGGGTAGTGGATACACTCAGGGCTGTCAATCCTTCGTCCCGGGTTAGAACCCCGGTTGTAGTCAGTGATTTCCATGCAGGGAACTTTTTACATTATCTAAGTGATATATTGATGCATATTGCCATGGAAGCCCAGCCACAAATGCCGTAGGAGAACAATAGGTACTAGGAGTATATACTGCAGAACAGTAGGCACTATAGAGTGGAGCACAGCTAAGTTTGGCTATGGCTGACAGAACTCCGGTGTCCCTACAGGAGTTTCAAAGTGCTTGTGGGCAGTGATTGTGCACCACAATAAGGGAAAGTGTACTAGGGATAGAGAGGAAGTGTGCGCTATTCTGACAGTGAAGGTGGTTTGGGGGAAGGTGCTTGTGCAACAGTATGAAGGGGCTCAGGGCAAGGTGCTTATTGTGGGACAGTCTATTATTTTTCAAGATTTTTATTCAAAAATAAAATCTGTTCCACTGTGTTAGGCTTCAGGCGATTTCGCTTGGCACTGACCACTTCCCCTGCCTTGGAGAAAATTCTCTCACAAGGCACAGAGGATGCCGGTGTGCACAAATATCAAATGGCGACTTCATAAATATGCGGATATGAGTTTGTGCGTTGACCAGTACTTCAGAGGATCCTCTGACCTTGAAATTGGAGTGTCCTTTAAAAACCTATAAACAGAGGAAAAGTACAATTAATTAATGAAATCTGAAAGGACACACATAAAGCACATTATTGAAGTTAAACTATGGACCTCTGTGATGGCACTGGCTGTTGAATTATTGGCACGCTGTGTGCCCACTTGGCTGTCCCACAGGCCCCAAAGGTCATCCTCCTGTGGTGGAGACTGCTGTGATGGTGGTAATGTTGGTGTTGGTGGTGCCGGTGATGGTATTAGACACACACACTCCCTAGTCAGTCGATCAACTGCACTCTGACAACTTGTTTGGTTGATGAATCCCATCTCCTTATACCGCGGGTCCACCAGTGTTGCCACAGCAAGTGTACCCATAGTCTAAATCATGGAGAATTTATCAGTCATGGCACTCAAGGTGTTATTGGCAAGTGTCAGTGCCATTCCATTGGTGATGGTGGCACAATGTCTGGCAGTGACATGCCTTAGCATTTTAACCAATGGGATAACCTTTTGAGCTGACACCTCTTTCTCTTCTGATACCTCAACAGTGGCTTGGAAGATGGGTCGGAGGACCAGGAGACACTGGCTAATGGCATCATACTCCTCTGATGACAATGGAGTGATCTCAGTGTTGAGATTTGCCAAAGCTGCTCCCAAAGGTTCCCACTGCTCATACAGCCTCTGGAGCATGGTGAAGGTGCTGTTCCAGCGAGTGTCAACCTCTTGAATGAGTTTGACCCAGGCCTCTCCCATCTGCACTGGACTGTGCACAGTTTTTTTTTGCAGTCGCACTGCTTTTAAAAAGCTGCACAATCTCTGCGGGCGCACACACAAATTTCTTCCAGCCCAGATGTTGCAGAGATTTTTTTTTTTTTTTTTTTTCACCACAAGATTCAGCATGTGGGCAAAGCAGCAAACATGTCGCACTTTTAAAATGGTGCCACAAGCAATCATGTTTGCTGCAGCATCTGTCACCAGGCTGACAACCTAGAACAGAATAGATATTACAACATGTATATAGACAACTTCAGTCACAGACTCATGATGCCACTAAATATATAAAAAAAAGGTTGTAATAAAATAGCACCCACATCAACTTCATGTATAGTGTTACTTTACATATGTTGGTAAATTCTCACTTTCTCCTTATTCCCCCACTCTGCCATGAGTGTTATCTTGGCCTCTGCAATGTTATGTTAGAAATTTCATCACCCCAAGAGGGTGGTGTGAAGTTTCATGTCCTCTGTGATGAAATGCCCCGTCACTGCCAAGTAGGCATCGGTGTTGATGGACGTCCACATGTCTGATGTAAGGCTGATGGCAGACACCTGCTTCAGCTCAGCCACAGCCTTTTCTTTTGCATTGTTGTACCTCTTGTCAAGCATTGTCTTCAATGCCTTCCTCCCAGGAATGGTGTATGAGGGATCCAGGAGATGAACAAAGGCCTTGAACCTGTGGAAATTATATAGCCTTCTTGAGTGAGTGAACATGTGTCAATAACATAGCGAGGTGGAATTCGTTCCTCAAGTGTTCATTACGAACCCCTCATTCTCCACAATGCTAAGAGGCTGGCAATCCAACACCACCATCTCCAACAAGGCTTCATCCAGCAGTTGTTGCCTCGATACTGTCATGAACAAAATAGGACATATATAAGTAGCAGCCATAACCTGCAAGTGACAATAGGCTTCAACAATAATGCAACCAAGCCCAAGGTTGTAGAAGACAGTGAAGAGTGACAATATAGTGAACTGCATGCTCAATAAAACAATTTTATTTTGTTATTCAGAAGGATATTAGGAAAGGATATTTGAAGGTGATTTCCAAAAGTGCTGAGTGATCCTTTTGCTCAGTGCTTGTTCCTGGTGGGGTGGTGGTGGTGTGGACAGTGGTGTACAGTGGGATTAGTCGTGTAGAAGATTACAATATTGGCCAGTGTAAGCTACATTGCAAAATTTCATATTGAAAAAAGATAGGCCCATATTAATAACAGCAATTGCCTTCATTGGGTGAAGCACTGGATGATGCTGCTGCCTCTTCATGTTTGGCACGGAGGTGCCTCAACATGGATGAGGTATTGTTGCTGTATGACAGCTCCTGGGGCACAATAGACACCGAACCTGAATAGAATCAATCTCATTAATGTGGCTGTTTGGTGAACAAAACTCAGAAGAGTCCGTTTTTAACTCTTAACCTGCCACGCAGTTTCTCGAAACTCGCCACGCAGTTTCATGTATTTGCGCTGTACCGTCTTTACGACGCTGCGCGCTGATATTATGGAGTACATTCATTTTCAATGTCAGAAAATACGTTCCTAAACCTAACAACCAAACCATCGGGTGTTTGTCCACCGAAGGTAAACTAAAAGCCAATAGAAACGAGTAGCTATAATGGAGACTAACTGCTGGCATTTCTCTGGAAAAAAAAAATATGAACGGAGAGTCAATAAACTCGTTAATTTCAATATTTATGATGTTATGAATTCATTTTTGAACACTGTATCTCGAAACCCCAATATGTAACCCATAATTTACAGTAATAAAGTCACATCTCATGGGGTTACTTGACAGTCTTTATATCAAAATGCGATCGCGAGAATTCAACCAAAAAAAAAAAAAAACCGGAGCTTCACGCTTTCCCAAAACGAAAAGTAATGTGCATTCACGTAAAAGCATGCACAGTACGAACTGTTCTATTTTTTTATTAAAACTGTACATGAGCCACCGTTGCATGTCGACTCAGGTCACCTGTGGCGAAGTTACAGAGTCGCCTAATAAGAGTTAACCATCCTAATAATGACATAACTACCCTATTTCTAGAGCCATATCTTATCCTTGGTGGCCTAACTGACAACTTTTATTTGGGGATATCAGATCAAAATGTTCCCATTTTGAATGCTTGAATGCTCCATGCCTCTTTGATAACCTGTCTCGAAGGCCTCACTGACTGAAATTAAAAGGGCAAACCCTTCCAAATTTCGATGCTCGGACGCCACCAGTCACGCGCCCAAAAGCCCCCACCCACTGTGCCTCGTGACTTGAGTGGCACAAGCATCACCACTTTGTGATGTTCCCTCCTTTTGAAAGGGTTCCCTGAAAACACAAGCTTTTTGGATTATTGGTTCTCGCATTCTGGTTCCTGAGCGTAACCTCACAGAACACTTTTTCCAACTGTCAAGCCATCTTGTTTTGGGGGCTTGTGTTGCAGCCAGTGGCACGGGAAACATGTCTGGTAGAAGGAAGAATGGATTCAGATGCCATCACGCCATCTGTAAAAAAAGCTGAAGATGAAAAAGAGGACAGGTATTCAAACACACCTCAAAATCCACAACTGACTACCTTTTGGCCTTCCAGAGGACATCCTCTCCAATCATGGGCCACAATTCACATCCGCAGTGTGGAGAGCTTTCTTCAGGAAGCTGGGAGCCTAAGTCAGCCTCCCTCGGGATACCATCCTCAATCCAATAGGCAGGCGGAGACAGCCATCCAAGATCAGGGGATGCTCCTCCGATCATAGTGCCACCAGCGTCAGAGGGATTAGTCCCAATACCTGCCTTGGGCTGAATACGCCCAAAATTCCCTGAAGACCACGTCCACTGAACTCCCCACCTTCCTGTGTGTGCTAGGAAGGCAACTTCCCCTGCGCGCGCGGGAGCGGAGCCACACAGCGGTCCCGGCCGTGGATGCCTGATTGCCTGAGGCGGAGAAGGTCTGGGAAAGCACCAACATCCAGATCAGGAGGTTGCTCCACCACCAAAAGATCCAGGCAGACCGTAAACTTTGGGACGCCCCCAATTTTCTGCTGGGGGATCAAGTCTGTCTCTCAACGAGGGATCTGCGCCTCCGCCTGCCCTGCCGGAAGGCAAGCCCACGGTTCATTGACCCATTCCATGTCCTCTGGACGGTCAACGAGTGTTTCTACTCAATACAGTTGCCATCAAACTACTACATCAATAACATAGTTCATGTCTCGTTACTTAGGCCAGTTACTGCTGGACCCCTGGCAGAGGCTACCCCCAAAGACCCTCCCCCTGTCCTGGAGGTAGACGGAGACCCAGCCTAATGGGTACGCAGCCTGCTCCAGTCCAGATGGTGAGCAGGCAAATTGCAGTATCTGGTGCACTGGGAAGGCAGTGGTCCAGAGGAGAGGAGCTGGGTGGACTGTGACAACATCTTGGATCCTCAACTCCTGGCCGAATTCCACCAGGCCCATCCGACCCAGCCTGGTCCGCACCCCAGAGGGCACCTCCCAGCCGAAGATCAGGCGCGCTAGGAGTCGTGCCTCAGGGGGGTGTACTGTCAGGCCATGCATCCAGCCTTCCAGCTTACCGGTCTACAGAGCCCCGGACTGTATTCTCCACGTTACTCATCGTTGTTTGCATCTGCGTGTAATTGCCACTGCGCGGTAGCAGTGCATAGAGTCTCACACTCTGTGAT